AGTTTTTACACAGGTTGTTAAGTGACATTGATTATATTCTTCACAATGTGTGAACATTCTCATTTCCATTTTGTTTGTTCTATTTCCATTAATTAGTTTTCCTGCCCCCTTACATTCTCATCTTTGTTTAAGTCATTGGTTGATTGTTTGGTCTGATACAGGTGATTTTTTTTTTTTAAAGGAGCACAGTACTGAAGGGTGATGTGTGAGCCAATTTGTTATTTAGCTACAAAGTGACTTTAGGGGTTAGTTTCAGGTCAAGTTTTGAACAGTGCCTCACGACAATAAAACCAAACCCGTTGCCCTCGAGTCGATTCCAACTAATAGCGATCCTATATGACAAAATAGAACTATCCCCTCAGGTTTCCACAGAGCAGCTGGTGGTGGATTCGAACTGCCAACCTTTTGGTTAGCAGGCAAGCTCTTAACCACTGCAGCCACCAGGGCTCCTTCAGGGCAATAGTCTTGCGGAATCCTTCAGTATAAACCAGTCAGTAGGTCTGGGTTTTGTTTTTTGCTTTTCTTGTTTTTTTTTTTTTTAAGGAATTTGAGGTTCTGTTCCACATTTTTCTCGCCCATCCATAGGGTTTCCAGTGGCTGATTTTTCAGAAGTAGATCATCACGTCTTTTTTCTGAGGTGCCTTTGACTGGCCTCGAACCTCCAACTGTTAGCAGCCAAGTGCCTTAACAATTTATACCACCCGGGGACTCACTCCCATGTCTATAAAGGCAACCTAGTTTTTTCCTTTTTTTTTTTTTTTTTTTTTTCTTTAGATGAAGGTTTACAGAACAAATAGTTTCTCATGAAACTGTACACATATTGTTTTATGATAATGGTTAACAACCCCACAACATGTCAACACTGTCCCTTCTCAACCTTAGCAACCTGGTTTTTTTGCTTGTATCCTAATAGGATATTTTTTCTTATGCTTTAAATGAGTTTATGTAAGGAATTTTATTTTGCCTAAAACATGTTGAACCTGTTGATTTTACAGTCTCACATGTTTTTTCATTATTGTTTGTTTAGGTTTTTCTGATTTCACTAATGGGAAACTAAGAAGTCTCTTAACATCTCTGTATCTGTCATCTTTTGTCATTCTCATCTCCTTGACTGGTTCTCTTAATTCTTAGACAACTAGTTTGCTTCTCCACAGTACTGATTAGATGGCACTTGGTAAATTGTTCAATGTGTGGGAACAAGGGACTAGGAAGATTCTTGGCTGAATTTCATTAGTTTTTTGTCTTGGGCTACTTGGGCTCCAAAGGAGGCACTTATTTGGGAAGTGGCAGTAGGAGGTATTAATCAGCACTGTATGGGATCAATTGTGTTCAAGACACCTGTTGAACAACCCAGGTGGCTCAGTCCTATTTTAGTTTGATACATGGATGTTGGAAGTCAGAAAAAGATTTTGATAGAAAGTAAAAATTTGAGGTCCATCACTTTATGGATGTAAAGGATATTGCCCTTTAAAGTGTGTAGAGTAAGGTGAGAGCCTACATTTAGACTTAAAAAGAAGACTATGAATGAGATGAAGAAGGAACCTCCATAGGAAGAACAGAAGAAATAGAGTTACAGAAATAAAGGTCTTGAAAGAGTTTGAAGAAACAGGAAGTGAGTTATCAGTGTAATTATGTGCAATAGAACGAAAGACCTGAAAAGTACTAATAGAGGCTCATTGGTGATAGGAGGGCAGCTTAAGTGAAAAAGACGAGGCTATTGTTTTAAGCTCAGAAGAAAGCCCTGGCAGTCTACTTCCGAAATATCAGCCACTGAAACCCCTATGGAGCACAGTTCCACTCTGACACACGTTGAGTTGCCATGAGTCCTGATTGACTCAATAGCAACTGGTTTTTAGTTTTAAGAAACTTAGCTGGTGAAGTGAACAAGAGAAATTGAACAGGTAGTGCAGAGAGATTTATTTTCTTTTTATTATTATTATTGTGGTGAAAATATACACAACAAAACATACCAATTCAGTAGTTTCTACATGTATAATTTAATGACATTGATTACATTCTTCAGGTCGTGCAGCCAGTCTTGCACTACCATTAACATAAACTCACTGCCCCCTAAGCAAAAATTCTCCCTTTCCCCCTCCTTCCCACTCCTGGTGACCACTAATAATTTTTTGGTTTCTATATATTTACTTAGGAGTCCCTGGGTGGTGCAAATGGTTAAGCTCTTGACTACTAGCCAGACCTACCCAGAGGTGCCTCGGAAGAGAGGCCTGGTGATCTGTTTTCGAAAGGTCACAGCCTTGAAAACCCTATGGAACAGTTCTATTCTGCATGTATGGGGTTGCCACGAGTAGGGATAAACTCAACAGCAACTGACAACAACAACATATATTTGCTAATTTTATATAGTATAGCCAGAATGCTCATTAGAAGAAAGGACGGCAAGACTTTGTCTCACATACTTTGGACATGTTATCAGGAGGGACCAGTCCCTGTAGAAGGACATCCTGCTTCGTAAAGTAGAGGGTCAGTGAAAAAGAGGAAGACCGCCAGCAAGCTAGATTGACACAGTGGCTGCAACAATGGGCTCAAGCATAACAACTATTGTGAGGATGGCACAGGACCAGGCAGTGTTTAATTCTGTTGTTCATAGGGTCCCTGTGAATTGGAATGAACTCAACAACACCTAACAATAACAGCAACATTTTTACTCAGCATAATGTTTCCAAGGTTCATCCATGTTGTGGCATATTCATCTGTGTTGTGGCATGTATCAGAACTTCATTTCTCTTTATGGCTGAATAATCCATTGTATGTGTATATCACATTTTGTTTATTTATCTGTTGATGGACATTTGGGTTGATTCCACCTTGAGGCTATTGTGAATAATGCTGCAACAAACATTGGTGTACAAATACACTATCTGTTTGAGTACCTGCTTTCAGGTTTTTGTTTGTTTGTTTTTTTTGATATATACATAGGAGTGGAATTGCTGGTCCATATGGTAGTTTTATGTTTAGCCTTTTGAGAAACTGCCAAACTTTTCTACAGTGGCTGCACCATTTTATATTGCCACCAGCAGTGGAGGAGGGTTCCAGTTTCTCCACATCCTCACCAACGCTTGTTAGTTTCTGTTTTTCTGATAGTAGTCATCCTAGTGGGAGTTAAGTAGTATCTCTTTGTGGTTTTGATTTGCATTTTCCTAATGACTAATGATGTTAAGCATCTTTTTATGTGGTTATTGGCCATTTGTGTATCTTTGGAGAACTGTCTCATTAACTATTTAGCCCATTTTTAAATTGGGTTGTTTTTCTTTTTGTTGTTGAGTTGTAGGAGTTCTCCATATATTCTGGATATTAAACCCTTATCAGATATTTAATTCCTAAATATTTTCTTCCACTCTTTAGGTTATCTCTTCACTTTGTTAATAAAGCCCTTTGATGCACAAATGCTTTTAATTTTGACAAAGTTTATCTGTTTTGTCTTTTGTTGCTCTCGTTTTGTCATCATATCTAAGAATTCATTGTTAAACGCAAGGTCCTGAAGATTTATCTCTGTTTTACTCTAAGTTTTATGTTTTTAACTCATGTTTAGATCATTGGTCCATTTTGAGTTAATTTTTGTAAGTGGTGTGAGGTAGGGGCCCAACTTCATTCCTTTATTCTTATGCATGTGGAAATCCAGTTGTCCTAGCACTGTTTGTTGAAGGGACTGTTCTTTCCCCCATTGAGTGGACTTGGCATCTTGTTGAAAATCAGTTGGTCATAGAAGTATGGGTTTATTTCTGGACTGGATTCCATTGGTCTATATGTCTGTCCTTATATGAGAACCACACTATTTTGATTACTGTAGCTATGTAGTATGATTTGAAATCGGGAAGCGTGAGTCCTCCTACTTTGTTCTTTTTGAAGCTTGTTTTGGCTATTCAAGTCCCTTTGCAGTTCCATGTTGTGTTTGAGGATTGGCTCTTCCATTTCTGCAAAGAAAGCTGTTGGAATTTTGATTGGGATTGTGTTGAATGTGTAGATCACTTTGGGTAGTATTGACATCTTAATGATATCAAGTCTTCCAATCCATGAAAACAAGATGTCTTTCCATTTATTTAGGTTTTATTTAATTCAGCTTTGTTTTATAGTTTTCAGTGTACAAGTCTTTCACCTCCTGGTTAAATTTACTCAGACATTTTATTCTTTTAGATGTTTTTGTAAATGGAATTATTTTCTTAATTTCATTTTCAGACTGTTCATGCTGGTGAGTAATTCCTGTCTTACTAGTGGACTTGGAGTCTGAAAGGGAATTACATGGAATTATGTCTGCAAAACTTCAGACCCCAGGTCTTTTGCTTCCAGATACTATGCTTTTTCCACTCTACCACACTGTTTCTTTGTAGAATAACGGAAGTCCTACAGATATCCCTATTTGTAGGCACAAAATAGCCTCAAAACATTACTCTCCATGATGTCTGCTAAACTGGTTCTCAGTTGTTGTTAGGTGCTGTCAAGTTGGTTCTGACTCAGCAACCCTATGTACAACAGAACGAAACACTGCCCGGTCCTGTGCCATCTTCCCAGTCTTTGCTATGTTTGAGCCCATCGTTGCAGCCACTATGTCAGTCCATCTCTTGAGGGTCTTGCTCTTTTTCACTGACCCTCTACTTTACCACGGATGATGTCCTTCTCCAGGGACTGGTCCCTCCTGATAACGTGTCCAAAGTATGTAAGACGAAGTCTCACCATCCTCGCTTCTAAGGAGCATTCTGGCTATACTTCCTCCAAGACAGATTTGTTCATTCTTCTGGCAGTCCATAGTATATTCGGTATTCTTTGTCAACAGCTATATTATATTTAAATCATGCGTTTTAATGAAATTTTTATTTGTGGTGTGTTAGAACTATGTGCCTTAGTATTTCTGTAGATTTGGTAACATTATCTGACATTTTACTTAGACTTATTTTTATTTTGGATTTATTTTTAAATTGATTGGTTTAAAAAGGAAATCTATGCATACAATAAAGTTTTGTTTGTTTGTTTTTTAAATATAGTCTCTGTAGAAGCTGAAACGCATCAATCACCATTCTTCAAAATGCAGTGGAATGTACTACGGACTGTATCTGGGTTGGTACACCGGACATGCTTGGAACCACCTAAAGCTGGTGTTTTTGGACACTTTCAAAGCATAAAGGGGCTATTACTTTTGTATAATGCTGAATCCAAAGTAGTGTTGGTACAAGGCCCTCAGAAACAATGGCTACATTTGTCTTCTGCCCAGTGTGTTGCAAAGGAAAGTAAGTCATTCATTGCTCAGCCACCCCTACTTGGGGCCTTTCATTGTAAACAATGGGAGCAAAATATTTTATCCAAGAGGATTGTTTCATCCAGTGCCACATCCCAAGGAACTCCCACAGGAAAAAAGGAAGAACCTGATCCTTTACAAGACAAATCTATTAGTCTGTATCAGCGATTTAAGAAAACATTTAGACAATATGGAAAAGTTTTGATTCCAGTACACCTAATAAGTTCTGGTGTTTGGTTTGGGACATTTTACTATGCAGCCATAAAGTAAGTTTTTGCTTAGTCTGAACACTTTTCCCTGTTTTATCAGAATATTAATTGTATCATTTTTAAATGCTTTAATATCTTTGATAGAGTATAGCTAGTTTTCATAGCTTTTTTCACATTTTAGTAATAGTAGCTAACATCTGCTTACTGTGTACATTAGACATTTTGCTAAATTTTTTAACTGTATCATCTCATTTAATCTTCACAGCGCTATATGAGCAGGTAGTATAATTATACCCATTTTATGAATGAGATTAAGCAAGTATTTTTCCCAAAATAGCTTGGCTGGTAAGAGATGAAACCTGGATTAAAATTTATTTAAGTTTGTCTGATTTCAAAACCCATGCTGTTAATCACTATGATAATCTCATATCAATATTTATGGTAGCACAGAAATAAAACATCAAATTTCAGAAATATGACAGCACCATGAGTTCAATACTTACATATTTTTTAGATGTTCATAAATGTAAAAATAGCTATTATTTACGATGTGTATGGTCTGGGTGGGAAATTAATAAGATATTTTTGCCAAAGCCTGGCTAATATCTGTAGTAGACACAAATGCATAAATTGTAGACATACGCTTTGATATCTTCCTGGTCCGATAAATGTCAAAGTAAGATCTTCTGTTCTGATAAAAAGCTAATAGTTTGGTAGGCCTAACCTCCAGGTGCAAACCTTTTCTAAAATTCTACAGTTTCTAAATTCATCTTGTTAAATTCTGTTACTTTCTTCTAAGATAGATTGTGTTATTCATACAACTTTAGGAAAGGAGTACACATAGAAATAAGTTGCCGATTATTTCCAGTTTCTGTCACTAGCGGAACTGAAACATTGACTTAACTTGTGTCTGTTGCTTTGAATTTACTTTATGGAATTTCCTTTTAAGTGACCAGGTAAGGGAGCTCAGTGAGTGTCCTGATGTGGATGAAATGTTACCATGGAAACTACTTTAACATGTTAGTGACCTCTCCTACTGAGTTTAGAATTATTTTATACTTTCCGAAAGTCTAATGATTTTCAGTGTCTGATTAGGTTGAATTAAGGTATTAGTAAAATGCAGTAGTTTTGTATGTGACGCTCACTCCTTGAAAAAGTTTTTTTGTCTACTGAATTAAAAATACTTATCTCAAGATGATGCGTTGAAGACGGTACTTATTCTTGGGAAACGTAGGACGAGAGATACTTCTTTATAAAAATTCTAAAAGAATGTTTTTTACCTTCTTTGATGCAGTTCGGTTTTTTTCCTTATCTTTCTCTCCATTATGTTCCTGTCATTATTTTCTTTAATAATTGTATCTTTCTTTGCAGAAGATCCTTGTATGTACATTTTATGGAATTCTTTTTTTGCTTAGTTGGATTTATTTGTTTATTTGTTACATTTTCTGGGCATGTATAATATTTATAGAAGTCTTCAAAACTGCCCTTATTTTCTTGACAGAGCATAAAATTGTGTACCATTTTGAGTAAAAGTTACAACCATTTAGTTGTACTATCATTTAATGACTGTCTACATATTAAAAAAAATTTTTTTTTTTTTTGAGCCATTGAGGCTTCCGATTCAGTATTTTGAAAAATCGCATGAGTAATTCTTTCTTCTTTCAGCTCTCCTTTGGTGGCCCTCAAGAAGTATTCAGTCACCTGGCCTTAGAGGGAGAACTCAAAGTTTCTGATTAATTGAATATGAGATTCTCGTTTGGGCTGTTAAAAGGAGTACTTTTCTTCCTTTTAGTCTTCTTTTGCCTTCTGTGGTAAAAGAGCTCTATAACTATAAAAGCAGACCCAAAATAACGTAGTCATTTTAATTATATTGAAGATTTTTTATTCTTCTATCTGGCATCCGGTGGTTCAGTGGTTAAGCTTTTGATTGCTAACCAAAATTCAAATCTACCAGGTGCTCCTTGGAAACCCTATGGAGCAGTTCTCTGTCCTATAGGGTCACTATGAGTGGTAGTCAACTCGATGGCAACGAGCTTGGTTTTTTTCATGTGGCACTTGAGGCAGTTGTGGGTGACATTCTGTCATCTCTTGTGAAATGAACTTTTCTTAGTTTTATCTTTCCTCCTCTTTTTCTTCAGAATGCTTATATGTAAACATACTGGTAAGACTTTCTACTTTAAAACACATCGTTTATCCACGATTACTTGTTTGGCTGTTTCTTAGCATGAGAATTTGGTTGCCAGATCCATCCGATTGCCAAGCCATGACTACTGGTTCAATTCTGTTGTAACAACATATAGCTAAAATATATTACATAGGATGTGTTGCTTCCCAAAACAATCCTTTTTAATGTTTTTATTAAATTCTTAATGCTACAAAAATTGAAAGTTGATTTGTTCTGAGGTGAAGATCTTAATCACAGGCAATACTTAAAAAGTAGGACTCATGGAAGAAAAGAAAAAGGAATTAGAATATGTTCAAAAGACAGTGTATGTTTCATTTTATTATAAAACTGAAGTTGATTGTATTAAATTACAAGTTTTCAAATCGACCAACAGCAGGGTAGCTTTATTTTAGCTGCTGTTGCGGCTTTTTTGTTGGTTTTTTTGGCTCTTTTACCTAAAAAAAGTTCTAACATTTGTTTGTTGCCTTCTTATTATTAAAAAAAGAAAGGGGAAAGAGTGGTTTGTAACTTGAAGGACGAGCCTTTGGCATCACATTGTGTTACTGGCCAGTATTTTAGTTACTCCAACCTGCTAGCGTTATTGCCCTTTCTGGGCACTGAAGAGCAAAGTATCACTCTATATTTAGCTAACTCAATGATAAAGATCTCAGGCTTTTGAAGCATTTTATTGCAGAGAGATCTAAATTGTTCATGCCAATAGATTTTTTTTCTTTTTTTTTTTTTTCAGTTTTGTTGCAGGTACTGTCTGGCAAAAGCTTGCAGAGATCTGATCTAACCAGAATGGGTCTGTTTGATGAACTATTGCCCTGTAATGACCATGTTGTCCCTTCTTTTAGAGGCCTAGTGTTTTGGGCCTCAAGTTCCTAAATTTACAGAGCTCCTCTGAAGCAGAATCCTGGCTGGTTTTTACTGTACTTTATCCAGACTATGATTGTTTTGTGCCTATGTGTTTCTACATTTGTTGAAACAGCCATACAGCAGACAATTTGTGAAATACAGATTTCTGTCAGACTGTGGAAAGTAACACAAAGTGGATGCTCCTGTTTGAATCAGAACTTCATTAATGCTTCATATCTAGCAGTTCCAAAGGAAATTTATTTTTATTTTTAAGGAAATTAAATCATCAAATCAATAGTTTAGAAATAATTGGAGTTAGGTGCTTGCTTTATTTTACAAAATATTCAAGACAGTGATGTGATGATTTGTACAAGATATCTGAGTTAATTATTGTCTGATATTTATGATAATGTTTTCATCATAAATCAGTTTTACTTTATATTTGGCCAGTATTTGATGTAGGGTTTTTTTTCCCTTCTTTCTTTATGATTGCTGTTACATATACAGATTTTAAGTACTGGGTTGAGTCGGAACTAGGAGATGGTTAATGAAATAATTTTATAATTGTATTGATATTAGAAGATAAAATCAGCATGTTATGGCGGGATTTTACTGTACAGTTATTTTACTGATTTGAGTACATCATAGAATAGCTAAATCTTTGTAGTACTGAACCTTACTTTAAGGGGATTCTGTTGTTACCTGGACAGATATTCCAAATGGAATTAATCTTTTAAGATATGATAAAATTGAAGGTGGAGAGAGTTGAAGCCTGAGAGGACTTGTAGTTGATTTTATAATCGAACTCGTTTAAGATTCCTTAAATTTATTATCCTGATTTCCTCTTTTTTTTGTTGATAGGTCATTTTAGTGGTTCTTCTTTTAAGGTGACCAGCCATGTCTATTGCAAGTACTCCTTCATCTCTTAGTATATAGTAAAATCACAAGAATACTTTTTCTCCAGTTAACCAAATTATTTTTTAATATTAAAAATATAAATTAGGTTTATAGCTACCATAATAATAATTGATCCAGGCAATTCCCTTTACTAATTACAAAAAGAAAGAGGTGCATTTACAGTGGGGCAATCTGTGTCCCCTGCCTTAACCAAGAGTCAAACTTAATAACACCAATGATGGAATAAACTGACATTATGTTCCCCCTATTATGATGCACTGAGATGGACACAGAATTAACTGTGTTCTTTTCTTGTTGAAATCTAATTTGTTACTGGGTATAGTCAAGTTGATTCTAACTCATAGTGACCTCATGTGACAGAGTAGAACTACCCTATAGGGTTTGTGGCTGTAATCTTTATGGAAGCAGATTGCCAGGTCTTTCTTCTGCACAGTGGCTAGATGGGTTCAAACCACCAGCCTTTCAGTTAGTAGCCAAGCACTTAACTGTTGCGCCACCAGGGCTCCTGAAATCTACTTTACTTGAGTCTAATCATAAGGAAACAATCGGACAATTCCAAACTAAGAGGTGTTCCACCATGCATCCAGCTTGGATGCTTCAAAAGTATAAACATCAAGAAAGATATCCTACCGTCTCTGTGCCCCCCCCCCCCACAAAAAAAAAAAGCTGATGAGCACTTCTAGAGAAAAGCAGACATGAGGGACATGAAAAAGTGGGTATAAGGGCCCCACTGGGACAAGTCAGGAAGTTTTAGTACTGTTTGTATGTTAAAGTATTGGTGTTAAATTTCCTAAATGTCATAAGTATATTATGCTTACACAGGAGAATGTCCTTGTTCTGATTTAGGAGTGATGTGCCACAATTTCTGCAAAACT